TATTTCACACCCATGGTTTGGACAAAACATGTCTTTGCGGTTGAATAGTTTCATTCTATTCAAAAAGAACACAACAAACGAAAAATACAAGAAGAGAAATTACAGATTCAAAGATTTTATATTGGACTGTGTAGAAAAATGACTGAACCAAACAAACAGGGTGGAGAGGGAGAAGAGTCAAGGAATGAAGTGGATGACGAATCTATTGCATCAGACTCGAGTGCAGTCACACCTCCGCTCTCGACCTTGAAAAGACCACCAGTGAAAGAGCCAGTAAATCGTCTGGAGGGTGGCTTGAAAATTCACAAAATGGTCCATGTTCCTCCCAGTAACAAGAAGAATGGTGCCCTGAGAAAGTGTCGCATGAGTGGTAAGCACAAGATTAGAAAAGAAACAAGTATCATGTGTGCAGACTGTGGTGTGGCTCTCTGCAAACTTTCATGTTTCAATGTTTATCACACGAAGAAAAACTAATAAAGAGGTATGGAAAGGCATTTCTTGCATAAAATATTGTATTTTAATTAGTTCCTGAAAATTTCGTTCTTAAAAACCAATTTTTGTTGAAGTTGTTTAGGAAAAAGTAACTACATGCATTTTAGCGACATAAGGTTTAAAGGGCCTGCCAGGACAGGGGTGGGATTTAAATACCCTTCGCGCCAGTCAAAGGGTTAATTAAATTATTGAATAGAAAATACATGCCATATATGTACTTTTAACAAAGAACTGCACAAATGCCTATACTTGTGACAGTACTACTTCAGCAGTACAGGGACATAATATATATATATATGACAACCTGATGATGACCAAATAAGTTGAAACATGCAGTTTATAAGTCGGATACATACTGCATGTAACAATGAAGTTCTCTGCAACACTAGTTGTACTGTGACAATATAATAGACATACAGGGTGATTCACGAAGTTTCACCCCGGCTTATGGTACATATTCCTGGGGTTATTTCCTGCAAAATTTCCTTATAAACTTTTGGTGGATTTTCAATATTTATGGAGTTACAATAGATTTTCGAAACGCATCAATGTGAATGCAGCGCTATGCTTCCCCCCTGGGTGACCTTGCGTTCCAGTCAGCTGTGTCGGCAGATAAGCTGACCAGCTGGAATGTTGCACGATCCTAGGCAAAGCGATCCAGTATTGGACAGGACGTTGGGTTGGTGACTATGTGAAGTTAAGATGCCGTACAGATTTTCCACTGAGGAATACGCCGATATGGTGTTTATTTTGGGTGTATGTGATGGAAATGCGAGAGCCGCTGCTGCCGAATATCGCTGGTGTTATCCTAATTGCAGGATTCCAAATCCTAAATCCATTAGCAGTACATTCAGCACATTAAGACAAACTGGTTCTCTCTCCAGCGTTCGTATACAATACGAACGAAATCCTCAACATGAATTGTGGGAAGAAGAAACCATTCTCGATGCTGTAGAGCGCATTCCTCGTGCCAGTACAAGACATCTAGCTCGGCGGTTTGGTGTTTCTCAGTCCATGGTATGGAGGACTCTTCATGAGAATGGGCTGCATCCTTATCATTTACAACAAGTACAACACCTACAACCAGGAGACCGTGCTGTTCATCTGCAGTTCTGCAACTGGTTAAATGGAAATTGGCAGTTGTACCGCTTGATAATGTTCTGTGATGAGGCACAATTTACATGTGACTGGGTCAACAACAGTCACAACTTACATGTGTGGGCAGACAATAATCCCCGTGCCACGATAGAATCGAATTTTCAACGCTGATTCAGTGTCAATGTCTGGTGTGGTGTTCTGTACGATCAGCTAATCGGGCTGTTCATTTTATTGCATTTGGGGCTGGGTGAAGGACATTGTGTACCAGGTAAAGGTACAAACACGTGAAGCGTTGCTTGAATGTATACTGGACGCGGCGATGACAATAAGGAAAACAACGTGTGGAACTGCGAAATGCTACGAGAGCGGTTCATACGCTTGTGACGCGTTGTGTTGACGTGCAGGGAGAAATTTTTGAAAATCTTATGTAAATCCAGTCGTCATCTAAAGCATTACAGTTTAAAGGAAACAGATTGATAGAAGGGTGTGATATGCAACCATTGGTATGTTTACAGAATGGGATGCTGAAAATAATGTAATTTTGTAACATAAAATCGATGAAAAATGTTGCACAAAGCAAAATTAAGAAATTGAAAAAAAAAATTGGTTTTAGAATGCTTCTTTCCTAAAACATTAACGATTTAAAAAGTGTTTGTATTGTATTTCTAATTTGTTTTGGCTGAAATTTAAAGAAAAAAAGATTTTTCACCAGTTTTCAAATTACTGTATCTCTTTAATTATGAGTGGATACCATTAGTATATTAATATTTTTTTGTTCCAAATTACCTCAGGAATGCCCTCCCTAAGTGGGGGTAAAACTTCGTGAATCACCCTGTATAATGAATTTCAGAGTATGCAAGGCTATTGATGGCACTAGTATATAAGCTGAATTAATATTCATCACGAAAAGAGTGTTTCTCCTCAAACAGGGCAGTTCAAATACTTTCCAATATTGTCTACATAACCCATTCCAAATTTGTTCACTGACTGTTTGAGTAAATTAACAGTCTTAAATAAAGTACAGATGTTGTATAGCAATGTATAAGATGGAAGACAGTCAAAGACATACATCTTGAGCAATCCCAACAGATGATTCCAGTTAATATTAAGAGCATTTCTGAAATATAAGTATGCGGCAGCAAGTTACATTAACGATTGGTAATGATGTGTATTTTTGCAAGAAATAGGTAGTTATGCACTAACAGGAGTATTATAAGTAGGACAAACATTGCTAAATAGATAATATTCAGTAATTAATATAACTTACTGATCTACTCTCTCTATCAAGGCATGGTAATCATTATTCAGTTGCACAATTTTTTCTCTGTAATGCAGCAGTAATTCCTTTGATGGTATTAAGTGCTCAAGTTGTTGTTCTACTGTTGGAAACTTTGGAGCATCTTGTTGGTAGGAATGTACTTCATCCCATAATGACTTGTTCGAAGGACCCATTTCCCTCTTCCCTGATTCAAAGGATTTTGTATTTCTAAGATGCTGCTGACTGGGTGGCTTCCTCAATGCAGACATGTTCAAGGCCAAACACCGTTCTCTTGTTAATAAGTATTCACCAGGACATTCACGGGATGGTATATCAACACCTGACACATATTTTCGTTGCTTATCCACTTCCACGAATTTCGCACTAGTACGACAGGACTTTTCAGACTTTCAATAGCATTCTGAAATAATGAACTTCCATGCAAATAAGTGTTCTACGAATTCTTCTCAATACAGCTTGAACATTTTTTGCTTCCATCCTAATTAGGGCTGTATGGCAAAATGTGATGTTCAAGCTAATCCTAACTTATTTGAAATTAAACATAAGAAGTAGACACCAGGTGAACTCAATTTGTGGCAAAAAGTAGACATGAGTTTGAGACATGCACATCTCAAATCAGAATTCATATCTTTATTATTATAATCGGGTAAAGCGCCATTTTCACAAATGTGGGTTTCCTTCAGTCTCTTACAACTCAGTATTACACAATATTAACATGTACAAACTACGAACAACATTCAAAACCTGTGAAAATTCCGTTAGAAACTATCCTCTGTCACCAACGGTTACCGAATGCGTGCAGAATTGCCACACGCAGTTCACAGAAACTCCCTAGCTGATGTTCATAATTCCCATCGTTCAGAGAGGCTAGCGCGTAAGGAGTTTGATTGCATTTCGAAGCATTTTGGCGTATTAACTGTCCAACGGAAAGCCTCTTATATTTCCTACACCTCTCCACGTGACTCACAGTCTGTAGCATAAGTAACAAATAAACAGCCGCCAAGGGCCCACTTGACCAGACCCGGGATCGAACCCGGGACGCCGCTGTGGGAAGCCAGCGACTAACCGCTTGAGCTATGGCGCGGCTTAATCGAACGTAAGGTTTCTCAACGTGCGCCTGCTAAGCTGGAAACCAGTTGCCTGTTTGAAATCGGCGACATTTCTCAAGAATCGCGGTTGCGTTGCGGTTGCCAGTTTTCTTGGTGTGCCCTCGCCCTTAGGCCAAAGGCACTCAAGGAAACTGGCAACCGTAACGCAACCGAAATTTTGGAGAATTGTTATCAGCCTCAATTGAACACATGTAACTGAATGGAGCAGGGCATATTGAGGAAACGACAACTCAGTTGTGTTGAACAAGTGTTCAACTCTGGCTTATAACAATTCTCGGAAATTAATTAATTTATTTATTTATTTCATCTCTATAGATCATTGTTACATGATATAGGACAAGTCAGTTACTGTACATTGGCTGATTACAATAAGAGAATAAAGTTACAATACTTACAATTGTTTACAATAGAGTAGAGTAGATTACAATAGTTAAGATTTCGTATAGTGTGAGATGGAATCCATATCCCCTCGGCACGTCGGCTTCCATATGTCCTATTGTACCTGTACTGGTGATAATGCTTATGGAGAATTTGATGGAATGAGGATTGGCAAGGAAAACCGAAGGTCTCGGAGAAAACCTGTCCCAGCGCCACTTTCTCCATCACAAATCCCACTTGTCTAGACCGCAGCGGCGGGAAGCCAGCGACTAACCGTTTAAGCTATGGCGCGGCCTTTGAGATAATATTAGTGAATTTGATGATAGCACTGGTATAACGTTTCACTGTAGACTCTACACTGCAACATCTCATTACATCTGTTCTCCTTTCCTGGTGCAGCTTCTTGACATCTGCAATCTCTCCAGAGTAGCCCATTCAGGTACATCTCCGACTGTGTTATCTTGGTTGCTGGAAGAAAGAAAGGAAAACTGCTCAGTAGGGATTCCCAAAACCGATTATTCATGAATTATGTGATTATAATTGATTAGTGTTTGTCTCACACGAGAGAAATTCATCCACTTTATAAAAACAATGATCGAGTAGGTAAGTTTTCAAAGCGTTTTTGAACTTATATAGCACCAGTATTTCTTCAATATATCGTGGCAGATGATTTAGCAGTCGAAGTCCTACATTGTTAAAGTTGTTGTTGCATAGACTTGTATTATATGGGACGATGTGCAAGTCGTCTTTTTTCCTTGTGTTGTATGAGTGTAATCCTGAGTTGATTGTAAAATCATTCGAATTGGATTTTATGTATATTAAAGTTTCGTAAATGTACAAAGATGATAGAGGTAATATATGTAATGATTTGAAAATTTGTTTACAACTAGTTGTTTTTGGGACCTGGGTCATAGCTCTTATAGCTCTCTTCTGTAATTTAAAGATCAATTTGTAGCCAGACTCCCAGAAATTTTGAGTGATATGTGTAGTTGATAACAGTGTCATAAATCGTTAATGGAGGGCATTCAAGTTGTAGTTTTTGAGCATGATGAAAGGCTATTGCTATTGTTTTCTCTTTATTAATAGTTAATCGATTCATCTCAAACTACTCTGTGATTTTGTTTATTATTTCATTTGTTTTCCTTTGAATTTCGTTAGCGCCATTTTCTGCTATAAAAATGCTAGTATCATCGGCAAAGAACGTAGGTATCCCATGTTGTATGCTGGCCTCCAGGTCGTTTATGTATAACAGAAACAACACTGGTCCCAGAACGGAACCTTGTTGCGTTGCGGTTGCCAGTTTCCTTGGTGTGCCATTTGCCCTAAAAATTTTGTTACTCTTATCATTTTATTACCGCGGCGGCGCGGGTTTGATCCCGGGTCTGGTCAAGTAGGATTTGTGGTGGACAAAGTGGCGTTGGGGCAGGTTTTCCCTAGTACTTCGGATTCCCCTGCCAATCTTCATTCCACTAATTACTTCACAATCACCCTCACATATCATCTGGGGCTGGTACAATAGGCCAGAAGTGGCCGCAGTACAAGGGACTTAGTCCCACCCCACTAGCAATAAAAAAAATAATAATATAATATAATTAGCTTGGGCCTCCAGCAATAAGCGAAGAAATTTCACTCACTGGTTTAATTTCCCTCCTAACTTGTGTACAATTGGCAAATTGAAGACTGTGAGTACAATACATTATTAAAATATTACAACAGATGAACACTTTTTGTACTTATTTATTAGACATATCCAAAAAAACTTATTTGTACCCCAAATGGTTTAATGTTGGCTATTCTGATTTTCAATTCAGTCACAGCCAATTGGCGTTGTCGAAGGAGAGAAAGAGTTACTGAAAGCATAGTGGTGATCGTGGTGATAGTGGTCTCGCTCTGGACGTGATTTCGACACGATCTCGACGATGTCGTATGGTGGTTGTTGTGTATAGGTATTACGTGTGGTTGAATGTTTTGTTGATGGAAATGAATGGGTTAAAGGGACGCTGGTGTTGGCACCAGCCCACTTGACGTGGGTTGGGACCAATGAAACGAAGCAAACCAAGTGATATGATTATTGTTTTTGAAAGAATTTGTTTCGTCAGTTTATTTTGACACATTGAAATCGTTGACAATGGTGTCCAGGGGAGACAGAGCAAGCTTTTCCAAGAGTCCCTCAACTGACAAATCGAAAGGGTCAGTACAAGACTTTGAATTTACGGTGCCACCAGAAGCTCCTGTGTTTGAACCAACGAGTGAAGAATTTCAGGATCCTTTAGGATACATAAGGAAAATTCGTCCAGTTGCAGAAAAATCTGGCATATGCAAAATAAAGCCACCACCGGTCAGTCTAATTATATTAGTTAATATAGTTTATATAATATTTTAGTAGTATGTTCGGTGATGGCAGACACATAGATATTGAACTGTATGTGACAGTTTAAAGGTCCTTGGAAATATTGAAGCAGCAACGTGCAATACTGTAGTTTCAAAATGGCTGCTCATTATTGTCCCCAGCTATTTAAATGTGGCCGTAGATAACTTAGCCCAGCCCCTCACAGAATCTAGAGGTATATGCAGTAGTATAATTGGAAGAAAGAACGCTGTTCTGTATACATATCCCGCATATATAATGTTAATTTATTGTAGCGTTTTGTATTATAAATCTCCCTATAAATATCTACCATTGTTACTTTTGATGTTTGTATTTAATTTCAGGAAAGTTTGGAGGTAAATAGGGTAAATAGTATGTTTTCTTTGTGTTCTGTTTTAAATATGCATCTTTTGTTGGTAATTTTAGACTTACACAGGAACAGTGCTGCTACAGTGGTGTAGCATTGCAGTTGGCATTGTTATTGAAAGTAGGTAGCTGTAAAGTTAACTGTTAGGAGACCCAGTACATAAAAGAGAACAACTTTTGTTTGTGTTTCAGGCATGTCATGAAAACAAAGTAACATATGCTTGGGAAGCTTGGGCTTTGTCTCAAGTGTAAAATGCTGTTACTAATCAAAATTGGCACACCACATTTTGATGAAAAGTGCTATTAGTAGCTGGATGTATTTCAGTAGGAATTTTCATTATTGATTGGATTTGTTCTTCCTGTTTTTTATTCAAGAACCACAGTGTTGAAATATACAGAATGAGAGCTCCTGTTTTATGTGGGTCTGAAGCTTCTCCTTAAGGGAAGTACATAGATGAAGGTGCAGGAGATCAAGATGCTGATAAGAATAATAGAGGGCTGCAGAATGTTGCATAATGAGGAACTTCATAATGTGTACTCACTACAAAGTATTATTAGGACGATGAAGTTAGGGACAGTGAGGAGAGTAAGGTATATAGTACACTCATTCATTCATTCATTCATTCATTCATTCTTTTATTAATCCTGTAGATCATGATACAATGATATAGTACAAGTCTTTCAGCTAATATACATTATTAAATACAACAATCTTAATATTAAAAAATATATAAGATATACAACATTTTATACATTATATACTATATACTTCTTATATCAGTAGCCAATATTTGAGAATTCATCGTTCAAATAGTCCTCCGTTGAGTAATAGCACCTCTGAATAAGTAACTTCTTCAATTCTCTTGTGAACTGATTTTTGTTTTCTATTTCTTTTATGTTGTTAGGCAATTTGTTGTAAAAGATACAGCCATCTACTGAAGGATTACTGTTATAAAGTTCTAAGTTGTGCCCATATATTATATTTAAGCATCCTGTTACACTCACACAATATATATGAGACAAACTCCGTCTTAAGTGCAACAATTTAATTGTAGTTCTTTCTTCTTTCCCTCCTCCACACTACATGTTTCGGCCCTAAATGGCCATCATCAGGTGTGTATTCTTACGTAGCTGCTACACTGCCCGTAGTTTAAAATTTAAAATCACCAGTCTTTCCAATTGTATGTATGTATAAAATCTTTGTTAACCTACACGCGTCAATTTTGATTTCTAAAATTGGCACTTTTTTAAAACTTCAATTCAAATTAAAATGTCTATAAATTTTCTTTTTCCAAATTTTTAAAATTTCCTAGAGGTACATGCCCCATGTCTATAGTGCTGCAGCGGCCACTTCTTGTTTTATCCCTGTTCGGGTACTGTTCTGTGTAGGCTCTCTCTGTGTGTGTCGCTGAACAGGGATAAAACAAGAAGTGGCCGCTGCAGCACTATAGACATAGGGCGTGTACCCCGAGGAAATTTTAAAAATTTGGAAAAAGAAAATTTATAGACATTTTAATTTGAATTGAAGTTTTAAAAAAGTGCCAATTTTCGAAATCAAAATTGACACATGTAGGTTAACAAAGATTTTATACATACATACAATTGGAAAGACTGGTGATTTTAAATTTTAAACTACGGGCAGTGCAGCAGCTACGTAAGAATACACACCTGATGATGGCCATTTAGGGCCGAAACATGTACTGTGGAGGAGGGAAAGAAGAAAGAACTACAATTAAATTGTTGCACTTAAGACGGAGTTTGTCTCATATACAGGGTGTCCCAGGAGGAATTGACCAAACTTCGGGAAGGTGTTCCTTATGTTAAAGTATGCTGATATAACCCAAAACACCTATGTCCAAAGTTGAATGGCTACGGAGATAATGGCCAGAGAAGTGTCAAACTTTGACTGGCGTCGCACACTTGTTGATTACAAAATACATATAAAAAGTGGAAGGAATATGTGGATTCTGTAATGTTAATAATGTACGTAACATCAAACTAACTTGTGAATGACATGAAGCCATAAAATTGAAGTACAAAATACTCGCTCGCCATGTCATAATTGTCCTTAGGGTTTCCAAGCACTATACATGACACATGACTGGCGAGCGATGACGTAACTTGCTGACTGCGCGTTCTGGTATAAGCCGACTACATAAGCACGGCTAGGGTGAATCACCACACTTAAGGACAAACATAGATAAGGCCTCTCAGCTGACAGGTACAGTGCGTGGACCTGCCAGAAGACCACACTTGTCTTGGGTCATTATCTCCGTAACCGTTCAGCTTTGGACATAGGTGTTTTGGGTTATATCGGCATACTTTAACATAAGGAACACCCTCCCGAAGTTTGGTCCATTCCTCCTGGGACACCCTGTATATTGTGCCCATATATATGATAGTGTTTATTATTTCTTGTGTTATATGTATTTGTTCATTCACTGTGCAGTTACACTTTTTTTTTTACATATAGGATTGTTTGTTGTATATATAGCGAGTATACTATTAGTATCTTTAGATTTCTAAAGCTATCCCTGCACGATTGCAGATGTTTTAGCCCTGCAGTGTATCTTACTGCTCTTTTTTGGAGTACAAAAATTCTTCTAGTGAGGGTCTTAGCACTATGTCCCCATACTATTATTCCATAAGATAGATGAGGATAGATCAAACTGTAATACAACATTCTTCTTTCATTTAAATCGAGTATTTTAGATAGCCTGTTAATTATGAACAGGTTATGGCTAATTCTACTGCAGGTTTTTTCAATGTGTAATTCCCAGCTCAAGGTACTATCTATTACTACCCCCAGGAAATTTGTGCTTTTAACATTTGATATTTCCCTGTTCTTTATTAGGATTTTTAGATTACTTTCCTGTCTGCATTGTTTTATCTGGAAGAGAATATAGTGAGTTTTAGATGGATTTATAAATAAATTATTTGTCTCAAAGTATTGCTCTTCCACTCCTATATTATTTGAAGTCGTCTTTTGGAGCTCATTCATATCTTGCCCTACATTCAGTCTTGATGTGTCATCAGCATACATTATTAATCTGCCTTGTGTTAGATGTGGGATATCGTTTATATAAAAGATGAAGAGTAATGGGCCAAGGACCGATCCCTGAGGGACTCTGTATCCTACTGGGAGGCTACTTGACAAATATTCTTTCATAAGATTGCCTTCTGTGTGTGTTACTTTTATGTGTTGAGTTCTGTTTCTGAGATAGGATTTGATTAGCTTATGTGGTATACCATGGACTCCATATTTGTATAATTTATCCATGAGAATGTTACGTTGAATACAGTCAAAGGCTTTTGATAAGTCTAATAGTACAGAGTTGCGTTTTATTTTATCATTCAAACTTTCTATTATGTTTTCAATAATTGTGGCAGTTGCATCAATAGTAGATTTATTTTTCCTAAATCCAAACTGAGATTTCTTAAGTATATTGTGTTTTTCTAAAACTGCTATTATTTGGTTAGCTATTACTGTTTCCAGAACTTTTGAAAGGGCAGGTGCAAGAGTAATTGGACGATAGTTATTTGCATCTTCTTTTATCCCATGATGTGAAATGCGCACAGAATTTACTCAGAAAATTCGAAGAAAGTAGACCTCTGTATAGATCAGAGGATAAGGTAAAGTTATTCATGGGCTTAATTAATTAAGCACTATGCCATGAAGATGTATGGGAGAGTGGAGGTAGAGCTCCATTATCCTTCACCTCAGCACTAGATGGAGGTGAGTGGTCAGCTTTGCACTGCTGCTCCCTTACCCCTTGGAAAGAGGCCCCAGTGCTCATTATGTAGGAGGCTGGGTAGGTCCCAGAGCTGGACTAGTTGTTATGGAGAGGAGAAAAACTGTGGCCCCTGCTGGGAATTGAACCCTGATTTTTTGGTTATCCAACCCATAGTGTAGTTGCTATGCATGTAGATTGGAGGGTGGTATTCAGATTGATTCTAAAGAAGTAAAGGGTGAAGTTGTGGTGTAGAGCCATGGAAATCTATTTTATCTTGGCATGGCTGAGACTGCCAGAGAAGAAGTTTTGCACTGACATGCCCTGAAAGCTTCAGACCTTTGTACAGTCATCTAGCTTAGGATAGGAGCGAGTGGTACACTTTGTGAATATGGAATTGAGCCTTTGGGTTCAGCAGAATTGTGGGAGTTTCCCTGTAATTATCTAGCTTCTAAGTGTGAAAGTTCAAGAAAATCAAGAGGGATTGAAACTGAATGGGACACTTCAGCTTGTTGCCTGTGTTGATGATCTTAAGTTATGAGGCACAAACATATGTACCATTAGAGAAAAAATGGAAGCTTAGACTATTGTAAGGTTGATCTAAAAGTACTGATAAAACTGAACATTTACTGCTGTCTGCCACCAGTATGCGCGTGAAAATTGTAATATGAGCATAGCTTATAAATTCTCCAGATGTGTGGCAGAGTTCAGATACTAGGGAATGACAGTAATAAATCAGAATTTCATTCTGAAAGAAATGACACTCAGATAAAATATGGGGAATGCTTGTTACTTTTGGGTTCAAAAATTGTTTTATGTTCCTGTCTCTCAACCAAGTATGTAAGAATGAAGATAGATTGAAGTACCAAGCAGCAAAGACTTGAGAGAGTGGAAGTGTAGCTACATACATGCTTAATCGTGACACTAGATGAGCGCAAGTGGTCAGCTTAACTACTCTGGCTGCTGCATCATCCCGGCAAAGAGTCCCCTATGGCCTCTGCAGAAGAGCGTGGAGGAGCCCCAGAGCTGGCCTGAATGCAGTGGTGAAGAGATAATCTTTGTCTTTATGGGGAATGAAATCATGATTGTCCAGCCCATACTCTCTTTGCTATGTCAGCTGAACTATCCAAGCTTCAGAGGTTAATATACGATGGGGTACCCAAAAGAAACCGAACTAATATTTTTGTGGGCAGAGCTTTTGTAGTACTGCGTTTTGCCGCTATGAGCGCATAGAGCTAACATTCCTGAGTCGATAAGCCGACTACTGTTGCTTCAGAAGGTAAGGACTAGTTTCGGCAGAGTTTATAGTGACAACTGTTTTGTGATCCTCGTTTTTGCAATGGCTGATTTTCGTGAACAGCGTGCGGCGGTGAATTTCTGCTCTTTGCTCGGGAAAAGTGGAGCAGAAAGTCTTGAAATGTTAAAAACGGCGTACAAGGACGATGCTATGGGGAAAACTTAAGTGTTTGAGTGGTTTTCCCATTTCAAAAGTGGTGAAATGTCAATTGATGACAAACCTCGTTCTGGTCGTCCTTCCACGGCCCGAACACATGAAAATGTTGAAAAAATTTGTGAAATCATCAAGGAAGATCGTTGACGGACCATTGAAGAAATTGTGGAGCTGTCGGGAGTGACTTGGAGCTCAGCGGCCAAATTTGTGGCAGTCGGGTGACTGGTTTTTCCATTATGACAATGCCCCTGCTCACACAGCCCTGTCTGTACGACAATTCTTGACCAAAAATGATATGACCCCTGTTCCTCACCCTCCATACTCACTTGACCTTGCCCCGTGTGACACTTTTTTGTTTCCTCGAATGAAAAGAGACATGAAAGGAAAAAACGACGGAGGCGCTGTCAAGCATCTCAAAAAGATGAATTTAGACAATGTTTTGAAAGATGGAATAAAAGACTAGACAAGTGTGTTGGTGTAAGTGGAGAGTACTTTGAAGGGGATTGAAGGTTTGTGCTTGAAGTTTGAATAAATAAGTTAAAAAAAAAAAGTTTGGTTTCTTTTGGGTACCCCCTCGTATATGACACTATAATTTTGCCAGTTGTACTATATGGGCATAAAATTTATCCTCTGATGTTAGGAGAGGAATGTAGATTGTAGGTGTTCTCAGAACAAGGTGCTGAGGAGCATGTAGGACCTGAGAGGAAGGAAGTGATAAGATGGTGGAGAGAAAATAATGCAGTGAGGAATTTCAGAATTTGTACTGCAAACCAGAAATTATTAGGACCACCAAAGGAAGGAGGATGAGTTGTAGCAGACATGGGAAATGGGACAGATGAGAAATGTGTACAAAGTTTTGGTTGGGAAACTTGAAAGGGGGGAGGTGGTTGTGATTTGACTTGATGACTCACTCTAATATCTTTGAGTTAGGTTCTTTGCGGGCTACCCTATGGACAGTTTGCAAACTGGTGAATAATTCCTGGATTTAAGATGCACCTCAGTTTTTCAACAGGAGGAAATGTGAAAAATGTGTGTCTTATATTCAAAGTAATACAGTATTTTGTTGCCTTTCTTTCAGGATTGGCAACCTCCCTTTGCTGTGGATGTCGATAAATTCAAATTCACTCCAAGGATTCAGCGTTTAAATGAATTGGAGGTATGTCCTGTAATGGTAAGGGAAAGTTGTGATGACATGAGAGTGACAGGTTATAAAATGGTTTACAACAATGGAAAAATAACAGTGGTGTTTGTGAGTGGGAATTTTGTAGTAGAATGATGTAATTTTAATATGGATTGGTTTGATGTGCCATCTTAATCTTGAAAAGTGCTACTCCTCTGTGACATGTCAGGTGTGTGTGTGTCTCTAGACGTTGGCAGTGCTCTGCATATCCCTGCATGCTGTTGTATACATGCCAGAAACCTTATGCAGAAATATCTTTATTCTCTTCAGCGACTTACAGGTTGAATATTACAATGCAGATAGTATAGCACAGCTTCAAGTCAGCTTTATCTCAGAGTTGAACTTCAGTTTTGATCAGGGCTGGCAAATTTTTGGATCCCTTCACATGATTGGTCAGTTTTCCTCCATTCTGTATGCCACTGAAGTATGAGGGAGAGTCAATAAATTTGGGTCAAAAATTGATATAAAACGAAAAACGTGATAATCAAACCTGAGAAAACATTTATTTCTCGACATACTCTCTATCAACATTGATACACTTGTCTCATTACTTTACTAGTGCGGTGAAACCCGCACCATAGAAGTCCTTTTTGACTGTTATCTCAGCCACATCTGCACCTCTGTTTCAACCTCTTCATCATCAGCGAAACATTTACCAAGCAAGGTGGAACCGCTTTATGTGACAAGCACTTCCCAACATAAACAGGAAACATTTCTTTATGAATATCCTTTGCATTGAGTCCTTTTGCCCATAGAAAAACGCACAACAGAATGCTGATGTTCAGCAGTGTACTACTAAGGCATGATCGCCATTTTGACTACTGAAACCAGCCCCTGAACATGCGCATGCATGCCTGCTACCTTGACTATGAAGAAGTTCGACTGTACTACTACCTAGTGATAAACATAGAAATCTATTATGCCCATTACAACTGTTTTACTTCCACTTATGACTTACTGACCATCCTTGGTATAACATGATTTTTGCTAATTCAGTCCTTTATCTGAAGACTGCTGAATGTAATATTGAGTTTGGTTTAGTAAATCATAGGGTAATAATGTCTGAAGTCATCAGTTTTCAGAATGGGAAATACTTAACCCCTTCACACTCATTCTGTTTTTCAAGAATTCCATATTCAGGTGAATTAGGTTCAATTTATAAGTCTCACTTCAGAAATTCACCAAAAATACAATTTTTGTCAAAAACATAAGGAAAAAGCACACTTATTCACTATAAACAGCAGATTTAAACAAAATTAGCCTACACAACAAACAATGTGAAAGAAATAAAAACTGAAAGAGTTAAATAATAGAAATTTAAAATTTACATAATTTAGGCAAAATATAAAATTGTCTTTATGTTCTTATTTTCTTGTTACCAAGCCTGTAAGCAAGAGTTTATTTTAATATAAATTTTGGTATACGTTCTTTGCATGAAATGCTCTATCGTCTGGAACTACATCACGTTATGTAGATCAGTGCAAATGTACCTTTTGCATTTAGCGCTTGTGTTGAGGAAGCATTCTCCCTGCAGCCCCTTGTTGCACCTGGTGCATACTGTTCTGGCTCTCCCCCTCCTCTCCTTTGTGCTGCAGACAGTGCAGTGGGACTCTTCAGGGAGTTCTCTGAGTCCTTGTGATCACTGAGGATCATCTGCTCCAGCATTGTCCTTCAGAGCCCACCATCCTCCCCAAAGCTCTCGATTATGGACATAGTGTAGTTGTACCTGGATTTCAATTTGCCAGGCCCCTGTAGTCTTCCTTGTAGAGGATGTAGCTATTCAGCACCATCCTGGCTGTGATGTTGAAAGCTACCATTTTACAGTAACACACTGTCTACCTTTCATCCATATAAGTGTACAGCATCATGTTTGAAGAGCCAATGCCGCCCATAAACTTGTAAGATGTGATGATGTTTGGTTTTATTTGTTGATTGCCACCATGTGTTCCATGCACCTCCTGTTCGAGGGCTGTGGCATGACTGGAGAGAAGAGTGACAGGATTCTTTTGTGATTTCTTCTCACAGAAAACACATGTGAGGAGGGGACCAGATCTGCAATACATTTTTTGTCAAACTGCGGATTTGTTCTTGAACAGCTGGGGTGAAAGTTTCCTGTTCCTGCTAACAGTTCCAGTGATGTAGGTGCTTAGCTGATGGAGATGGCAGACAAGTGGGACAGGCATGAAATAGTTTTCACTGAAGACCTGGTAGCCTTTGTTGAATTACCCTCCAGACTCAAGCAGTTTTTCATGATGGTGTATGCGAGGCAATTTCTTTTTTTGGATGTTGTCCTTGTCTTCGTCTTCCTGAGGCCTGGCCCCTCTGTATATGAGAAACCTGAGGCAGTAGCTGGATACAGAGTTGCACAACATCCAAAATTTCATTCCTCAATGCTGTTGGTGCTTATTGGGCAAATACTGCATGAGACTGGTATTGTTTTTGGTACCTACCAGACCTTTTCACCACCAATTTCTTGATGAGGGGTGTAGGTGATGCCTGAATACCCTGTTTGCATGGTCCACAAGGGATTGGTACCTTGCACAGGGATCGTAGTCTGGTTCTTTGGGGCCTGGCAATCCTTTGTTGTTGACGAGGTGGAAGAAGCACAACAAGTGGGAAAAGCCATGCTTGGTAAACACTTTCCCAAACCATGGGGTGGCTTGGGAAGAGAGAGACCAGTATGATGCTGTGATTGGCTTTTTGATGAGGCCCATATTTAGAATACAGGCCAGGAGGAATCCTTTCATCTCATGCATGGTAATTCTTTAGTTCTTTAGCGGAGCGGGAACATTATCCGCTTTACTGCTAATCACTTGCTGCACATTCTGTCAGCATGAGGGTAAGGATCAAGTGTGTGAAGAAGAGATGGAAGTGAGCTCTAGGAGGAAATCAGGAGGCGGCATATGCTTAGGTCCAGACAGTTCTTGGAGTTGGAGACAAGAAGGTGAGGTTGCTCAGGTGACATAATTTCCCTGTAGTCTTCATCATCGTCATCCTCTTCACTGTCAGACACAGGGTGAGCAGTGGGGGCTATGGCATCTTCTTCACTTGTATCATCAGTGTCACCTTCTGGAATAACATCAGTATCACTGTCAGCTGTACCTGAATATTCCAACACGTCTGAGTCATCTCACCTAGAGCTTGACCAGCCATTGTCCAGTTGTAAATGTAAAAATAACTAACTATATATACTGTAAACTTTGTGAAATATACAAATATGATGAATAAGTTGTAACTTTATTATAAAAACAAATACTGACACTAAAGTGTGATATATTCACTGTAAAACAACTAGAACCACAGATTAAGATAGCATTGAACTTCAACGTTAACATGTGAGCTCAACATATTACATTTGTTAAAAAATATACAAGGTGTGGCAATAAAGAACCCGGATTACTTTTATGACTCATTTCCGGCCACGTCATTGACGAAGAGGAGGGTAGGGCATTGACCCTTGGACTTCCCTCTACCGTCACACAAAGTTTCATTCACGTGCATCGGTTAGTCTGGCCGCGACCATTGTTAGAAGCGGATCGTGTTTCTGAGCTCCGTCGGAATAATGCTGAGTGCTAATGCAGAACAACGTGCTAACATCAAATTCCTCACAAAACTTGGAAAATCTGCCACTGAAACTTACAATTTGTTGACAGAAGTATATGGTGATCAGTGTCTATCTCGCACGCAAGTTTTCGAGTGGTTTAAGAAGTTTATGGAGGGTAGGAAAAA